ATTATAAGATATTACTAATAAGTTACTAAGGACTTAGTAACCTAGGCTAGTAAAAAGCCTATAGCTATAGTTTAGTAAGTTATAGCTATAAGTAAAGAACTATTAAAAGCTAAAAAGGTTATAAATATATAAAGTATAATAACTATATAAGTAAATAAGGATATATAGGCCTAAAAATATATATTAAGTATATAAAAGATAAAGTATTCTTAGATAGTAAATAATTACTAAGAGTATACTAATAAAATAAATAGACTAGTAAGGCTAAAACCTAGCTTATAAGTAGACTAGATAAGGCTAAATAAATAAATAGACTAGTAAGGCTAAAACCTAGCTAATAAGTAGACTAAATAAGGCTAAATAAGAAAATAGTAATATTTTAATAATAATTAAGTAAGAATAATATAAAAATAAGTAATAAGATAAATAAATAACTAGTAATTACCTTAGAGACTATAGGTTAGCTTAGAGGCTAAGCCTTTAGAAGAGGAAGGTAATTATAAGGAATATAGATAGTCCCTTAGGTATTAAGGGCTAGATGCTATAGATTAACTATTTAGTAATTAGTTAGTAACACCTTGCTAATAGATATTAAGGGATTCCTTTAGTAGAGAGTTAGAAGGCTAAGTTAAAGTCTTATAATATACTTATACCTACGTTTTTACCTATATTATCCTCTAGAATTAGCTTCTAGCTATAATCTCCTTATAAATTACTTATAGTAATTAAGTAAGTACTTACTATTAGCCTTCTAGTGTTTTTTTTTTAGAGAGATAGCTATAACTTTCTTAGGTAATTTTTTAGTAGCCTTCTTAGCTAGGGGTTTTTTTACTAGGGTTTTAGTAGTAGGGGACTTTTTAGTGCTATTTTTCTTTATAAAAGGCTTTTAAGTACCTTTTTTTAAAGGGCACTTATAAAAAACTTAGGCTACTAGTATTATAATAAGTCTAGATAGTTAGTAATTATTAAGAAAATAATAATAAAAGAATAAATAACTTATAGTAGTTATTATTATTATTATTATTATTATTAAAAAAAAAGTAAAGTTAAAAAAAAAGTAAAAATAAGTAAAAGAATATAAGTAAAATAAGTATAATTAATAGTTAAAAAAGGTATAAAAAATAAAGTAATTTATAGTTACTTTACTTATTATTTTTAACTTATTTTTAACTTTTTTTTTAACTTTATTTTTTTTACTTTAATAATAATAATAATAATAACTACTTTGAAAAATTCCTTTTAGAGGTAAAAAACTAATTCTTTTATTTATTCTAAAAGTATTTTAACTTTTTTTTAGTTTTTTACTTACTACTAAAGATGTCTTTTTTTAGCCTTTATAAGGTCTATTTATATCTATTTATAGTAATTAATTATAGTAACCTAACTAATATTTCTTTAGGCTACTTACTAGGCTCTAGTGCTAGTATAAAGTAAAAGGCTAATAATAACTACTCTAAGAATATATATACTAAAAAAGCTTATAAGTATATTAAGAGAATAATAAAGAAAATAAAAAAGCTTAAGAGGGCTAAAAAGTCCTTTACTACTTAGAAAAATTATAAGCTAGCTACTCTTAAGAAGTCTTAGCTATATATTAATAGTATAGCTTTAGTTAAGGCTAATATAAAGGCTAAGGTAATTAATAATATTACTACTATAGTGTAAGTAACTTTTTTTTATTTATTTTATACTTATTTTTAACCTTAAAAATAAGTAAATAAAAGATAACTATCTAGGAATTATTACTATATAACTTAGCCTTTATTAGGCCTCTTTTAAAAGCTAAGCCTTTATCTAGGTTAATAATAATAATTAAGTTATTTAGAATAATAATAATAATAATAACTAAAAAAAGATTTTTTTTTTAGCCTAGAAAAGTAAATAAAAGAAAAGCTAGCTAATCTTAAAGACTACTATAACTTTAAGGTTAGTTTTTTTTTTATTAAAAATATTAATATTTAGTAAGAAATATAGGCACTTATTACTAAATATAAAAAAGTAAGTAATTACTATAAAAGATTACTATAAATTACTAATAAAACTAAGATCTTATTTACTAAAAGTACTACTATATAACTAACTACTAGTATATAGCTTTTAACTAGTTTTTTACTAAGGTTTATTATCTAAAGGTTTAACCTTTTATTTACCTTAAAGTTACTTCTAAAGTAGGCTTTCTTTAGCCTAGTTAAAGTCTACTAACTACTATAGATATCTTTATAAAGAAGGAATCTTTTCTTTAGTTAGTCTTAACTAAGTATTAGAATATCTTTACTTCTAGAGACTATAAGCTCTTAAAAATTATCTTCTATTTTTACTAAAAAAAGAAGTAAGTAAAATTAAAATTTTATAACTAGTAGACTTTACTAATTAATTATTTTTTTAAGTAACTTACTTTTTAATACTACCTTACTATAGGTTAATAAAGTAAAGGTTTTCTTTATACTATTTAATATTATTACTTAACTTAAGACTTTAAGCTAACTATTAAGTAGTTAGTTAAAGAGATAAGTTAATTACTATAACTAATTACTATAAATTACTAATATATATATAGGTTTAAGGCTTTCTTGTTTTATCTTCTTAAAAGAAGATTCTTCTTAGTCTTATAAAGATATAAAATAAAGTTACTTTTAACTTAGAGGTAACTATAGGATTTAGTTACTTAATAATAAAGGCTTTTAAGCCTCTATAGGAGGTTTTACTACTTTATCTTTAGCTTTAGTTACCTATTAAGGTATACTTAACCTCTTAGTAAGAGGTTTTTAATATAGTTTATAAGGCTATATAAGCTTATAACTTTAATTTTATTAAAGAGATAGTAAAGGATATTTAAAAAAAGAAGTTATAAATTATAGTAATTAGTTATAGTAATTCTTACTTCTCTTATACTTACTACTATTCCTATATTACTTTAGCTATCTTCTCTTAAATTTATTTTATACTTTAACTTAAATACTACTTATTAGCCTTTTTATTAACTTTATTTATATTAGGCTAGTTTTCTATATTACTATTATACTCTTTATCCTTAGTATAGTAAAATAAAAAGTTATATAAGCCTATTACTATATAAATAATTTAGACTTATATATTAAAGCTATACTTTAGGGCTAAATAAGTAATTATTTTTTATTTTTATTTTAGGTAACTAAATACTTACTTAATAATTATTTAAAGATAACTATACTAAAGATTATATAACTCTTAAGCTATTTCTAGTAGTTTATTTATATCCTTAAAATCTTATAAATAGTAATAGGTTTTTAAATAAGGAGTAATAATACTATTTTAGGCACTAAACCTTATATCCCCTAAGAAATACTAGCCTTTAGGGACTTTAAACCCTTTAATATTTATAAAATTAATTAAACTAGTATTATAGATTAACTTTTTAGCTTTAGTAAGTATAAATAAAAAGCTACTATTAAAATAAATAGTAGTAAAAATATTTTAAAAAACTATTTTTTTTAACTATATTATTTTCTTTAAGTAGTAGTAGAAATATATATACTAATAAGTATACTATTAACTACTCTAATATAACTAGTAAAGTATTTACTTAGTTTTTTATTACCTTTAATTTCTCTTAAGACTTTAGCTTCTTTATAAAGAATAATATATACTTTATAAAGCTTTATAAAGTATAATAAAACTTTATTTTAGACTAAGGATATAGTTAATTAACTAATATAAAAAAAGTAAGTAATAGCCTATTAACTAAGATTACTACTATAAAATAAAATAAATAAATAAATAAGTACTTTTTACTTAATAAAAAGGTTTTAAAATAACTATAAAGGTATATTATTTATAAGCTATCTTAATAATACTTAAAATTACTATTTACTAAGATAAAAAAAGTATAAAAAATAGTAGTTTAAACTAAAGAGAAGCTTTTAATATATTTAGTATATAATTATAGTACTACTATTATTAATAACCTCTCTTTTATCTTTATTTTTACTAGCTTAATATCTTACTATAATAGTACTAGATATAGTTACTATAATAAAATAGTTAAATTTTATAATAAATTATTTATAGTAATTAATTATAATAATAAGTAGTAAAAAAGTAGTTTTTAAAGTATAATAATAACTATAATAATATTAATATAATTTTAAATATAATAAGAATTTATATAAAAAAATAAAAAATAATTAATAATTTATACTATATAAAGTCTCTTTTTACTAAGGTATATAGCTAATATATAATAATATAAGGTTCTATAATCTAGAACTATAATTATAATATACTCTCCTGTTTTAGGCCTAGTGTAATATAATTTAAGTTTAGAGGGTACTTATGGCTAGTGTTATTATATATTTAAAATTCTTATTGCATATTTTAGTTCTTACCGCAGTCATTGATTACGCCCTTAATTAATAAAAGGGATCTATGCTATTGCCTTTATCTCCTGCTTCTCTTAACCTGGCGACATTATTATCCTAACCTTAAGCCCTAAAAAGGACAGAAGCTCTCATCACAGGGGAAATAAAGGAGCCAAGTCCACTCCGCCGTGGCGCGACTGTAAAAGTGTTCTCTACCTAAAATCAAATCTGGCGATAGCTTCACGTTTTCCCCCACTCGTCATGCATGTCGCCTGTGCCATTACACGCTGGGAGCGCACTGGCGTAAACAAGCCCCCCTGTGTGGTACGTGTGGCGCAGTCAATTAAGCTCGCCAATCAGCTTAGATAGACCCACAAAATGAGAACACATCACTCACCAAGAACGCGTTCTGAGTACGTACAATGTACGCACCTTGACCTGGGTGGGATGGCTTAGGTAAGGCGACAGCCCAAATGTACCACAAATTGTGGTACATTTCTGCAGCTGATTACATAAGGCAGGCCAGCCTTGGTAGGCGACCCCACCACCCCAGAGCTGCCCCACCGGAGGAAACTCCGGCTTACACTGCAGCTCTTGCGCCTGCCGTTTGTTGCTATCCATCCAGGTGGAAGACTATTATTTTATCTCTTCAAATCAACATCCCTCTTGTTTGGCTTCCAGCCAGTCTGTCTCTCTGTCTGCCACCTTTTACTTCCACCCGCCTTGTTTTGTCCTTTTTTCTTTTCCTTTTTTTTTTCTTTCTCTTTGTGTCCCTGAGCACGAAATGCAAAGACCAGGAGCCAACTCAACCTCTCACCAGCTCACTTCGCGTTCATTGCGGTCTCAAGCTGCTCGACCTGCACCAGATAACCCCTCGTCCGAGTCCAGAAATATCATCACCAGCACCCTTCACGTCGCCGTTGTATCCGCCTCGCAAGCGATCTCTCAGTCTGACACAGTGCTTGCTGCCCACTGGGACAACATCCGCACCGCGTTTATTGCCTCTGGTATCACGACGCCCTTTGCCGATTGGATAACGCAGGCCTTTGGCAATCACAACCTCCTCACTATCGTGCGCGCTGCTTTTGCGACACGGTGGCGTCAAGTCGAAGACTCGGGTTCCCGTGAGGTCAGTCGAAGGAGGTCCGCAGCCAAGCGCCTCGGTCTCGACGGGATCTGGGAGCTTTACCTGTGGTTCGGTGCATCAGTCCAGTCCCAGCGTTGTTGGAGGCTTCTTCCTGCAGGTTTGGAAATTTCGGCTCGTCAATTCTTCGTCGAGCTCTGCCGCGTTCGTGCGCAGCAACCTTTGGGAAAGCAGAAACACCACCTGGAAAAGCCGTTTGGTCCCCGGGAATTCGAGCTCGCCTGTTGCGCTCTAACTGGTTTGTCGCATCACCAACCCCCTCCCTATTGCCTCCACTGGGGACTTTTGTCGGCTGATCCCTCCCTCCCTTCTTCCTCTAGACCGAGTCACGATTCGGGAACTCGAGACACGGGACGACCAAGACAAGCAAGACAATCGCAACCAGCGTCGAGTTGTGAGACAACATCGAGTCGAGGAGGATCGTCAATTCGAGATGCAGCAAGCCGAACAAGGACAAGAACGACCCGGCGAGCAAAGAGAAACCAGCAAGACAGGACGTTGTCAGGATAAAACACAGCACGACGACTCTGGATATTTCGAGGACTCTCTGGACAGCGAAAGCGAGGAGCGAGACAACGAACAAGACGACCCTGGATCTTTCGGCGTCTCTGACAACATCGGCATGGGTTCACAAGTATCATCAGGTGCTTCGAACGTCACAGAGTCTCCCCAAGAGCCACCGACAGACATGAATGATGCCCAGATGAACGAGATAGCTCAGAGACTTTCAGTTGCCAAGTCGAAGCTGGCCGAAGTTCAGGACGATTGTGCCGCCAAGAAGTCGCAGTGGGAGGAGGTGGCCAACTCGGGGACCTCCGCAATGCACAAATACAAGATGCAGATCGATGCTCGCGTCAGTTCAATCATGGAAGAAGACGTAGAGGATCCCGACAAGGGATCTAGCGAGGACGAAAGCGCCAGAGGTCTTGGGGATTTGGAACGAGACCTCAAAGCGGCTGTCTCCAGGAAACGAAAAGCCTCGCGCCAGATCGAGAGTCTGACTACCAAGTCGCAAAGGCTGATGGAAAGCGAGGAGACCATGCTGGCGCTATTCAAGAAGGCGGTGGAGGAGCATTTGGGAAGGATGCAGCAAGAACAGGAAACAATTGTTGGGCCTGGAGCAGACCAGTGATGATTCTGCAACACTACAGGATATCCGGATGGAGGATGGAAAAAAGGACGATTTCATCGTGTGTTAAAGTGTGAGATGGTCCGCTCGGGAAATTGACCGCGACCTGGTTTGATCAGTACCTAGGCGCTCATGGACAAACAGAGAGCTGAGGCCGCGGTTGAGGGACTACAACCTTGGCAAACAGTCTCAACACCGGCCTTGCCTGTATTTACAGTAAACAAGCTACTAATTATTAGTCGGACCAGCCATTGCCATAAAGTTACCAAAGACCTAGAACTGAGTGATTGGTTGTAAGTGATATTCATTGTGGGCGACAGTTGTGAATAGCTTCAATTGATTGACGGCGACGGCAAGGGTATGGGCGACCGCGTTGTGGTGGCCCCCCAGAGATTGGGTGGGCCCAGCCACATTTGGCGGCGGCTTAGCAGCAGTGTTGGTGCTGTGTAGCTCAGCCTCAGACTTCTGTGGTGGTGCCACATGTGGCTCAACCTCAGACTTCCTGTCTGATTAGCAGGTGCCGCCTTGACAACGAACGACTCCAGCAGCGTCTGCCTTCCATTGGTGTTACTCACTTCTTGACCCTCCATCCACCATCCACCCATCATCATCAGCATCGCCATCCACCTCTATCCACCTCCATCCACCCATCATCATTATCATCAGCATCATCATCAGCATCATCATCAGCATCAGCATCAGCATCATCAGCACTGTCGTCGTCTTCGTCGCTGTCGTCGTCGTCATCATCCTGATTTTTCTCCAACGCAAACAAACATTCCCACTCGGCAACTTGACCGTTCCATGACCATGTCGCGATGCCCCAGAGTCTCGCGAATACAATGATGCATAAAGCTGGCTGCGTGGCAAGCAAGCCTCCGCTTGCTTCCCTTCCTCGCGAGCATCTCGAACCCGACTCAATTACCGACTGTTAGTCATGGGCAATGAAATTTAGCGTCTTGCCCTCTGCCCTCCATTTGATCCAGCTGCTGCCAGACCTTTGTGTCTAACTCTTGAGGCATCTACTACAGACGAACGCAAACCGAGCTCACATCAGGACCGGCCAGGTTACTAGGTTATTATCACATCGGAGGTACTGCTTTGGGGGACATGTGCCAGTTTGACAACGAGAGTCGGTCGCTGTCTTCTCCTTGTCACAATCCTCCCTCCCTCTTCAGCCACATCCACGCGGGGCCACATCCACGCGGGGCCACATCCACGCGGGGCCAGCAGTGGGCAGGTGGGGACAGTTAGTTCCACTGCCGTGCTGCACGGGCCGTTCTGTCCCCCACTCTTTCCCTCATCGAGGTTGTCTGTCGAGGTTGTCTGGCAGACAACCTCAGCACCCCTCATCATTAGTCCTTATGACGCAATCCCACTTGATCCTAATCCCGACAACCGCTTTCCTTGTGGCTTCCGAACCCCTCGACTGCATCATTGAACCAACAACGACGGCGCCAACCACAAGCACAAGGCAATACATAGCCTGGCGAGGACTTCCCCCGACCCGCCCGACCTTTTTAATAATCTTGACGGACACATCTGCTTATTTATACGATCCACTGACAATTGGAGGCTGCCCCGGTTTAGCTGAGTCTTGCCTTTGGAATGCGGCCGCTTTGTGAGGCCATTTTAGCTTGTGCAACATGTCCTCTTCGCGATGAACCCAGTTCGTGCCTGGCTTGAATATGGCCAGGCCCATTCGAATTCCTCGACTTCCACCTGCACACCTGGTTCTTCAAAATCGAATGCCTCAGATCTGTTGTGCGTTAGAATGCGGCCCTTACCTAATCACCTGTTAATTCATGCCATCATGCTAACCCTTCATTTCCATCTAGACCGCTGCTTCTCGTGGCCATCAGAATCATGGCCGGCTTCTTCACGCCGCCTAGCGATCCATGCCGACACTATAGAGACCCTGTTACACCTCGAATCCGTCATCCACAAGCCCTGTAAACAAGTAAATCACTCTACTACACTATCCTTAACCCTCGGTCCACCGTCCCAAAAGGCACGCCCCGCTGCAGCCCCGACCTCAACCTCGGCCTACCCAGTCAGCACCTTGCCCAGCACATCCGGCAACATGGCTCTATCGTAGGTGTGCTTAAGCATGCAAACCTCGGCCAACGTTTGATACCACTTCTGTCATAGCAGTCTTTTCCATCACACTGTTGGCCTGTGCTTGTCTGCTCATGACTTGCTTGATGGTGAGCGCAGTCTGTCTGTAATATCCTGCCGCCTATGCGCGCCCATAATGCTGACGCTAATCCTGATTCCTGCCTCTCCTCTGGCTTGGGCCTAACACTTTGTTTATTTGCCTAACCTCCCTCGCTTAGTCCCCCCTACAACCACTGCGACTGCTACAATGTGTCTGTTGACGTTGACGGTTCTCCTAGTAGCCCTGGTCTTGACGTAGTCATTGAACGAAGCGAGCGTCTTTGCCTCAATACATTATCTCGTTGAAACTGATGCCCTACTACTGGTCTATCTTGCCTTCTCTTAGACAAGAACATTATTTTGCCCCTGTTAAGCAGGCAGGCCACTGTTCTTAGACGGCAGCATTTTTGAGAACCCGGGATGCCATGAACTGACTCGACAGCAGCTTTAGGCTAGCGGATACATAGTCGTCAGCAGGACCGCCTGGGGTCGGCTTAAGGAGTCTAGAGGTGCTCGGCAATGTGATCATGACGAGATGGAACGTCCTCCCGAGAGACCAGTGTCGATGTTTGCCCATCAACTCACCACCCCGCGTCCTTATCACCCAACTGACCAACTCAGGTATCCGCAACTTTGTCGTGCAGTTCATCATCCAGTACTCCAGCTCCAAAGAAGCCATGAAGGAGCAGAACATGCTGCTTAACAATCTCAATCTCGTCCTCATCTTGATATTGAAGCAGGAATAGCCACACAACTGGCCCGCCTTCATCAACGTGCCATTCCAGCCTGTCCATCTGCGAGACCAACATGGGTTGGCTGACAACCGGCTGAGGGGCGTGAGGTTGACCATGCCGTTGTCATCTGACACCTCTGACCCTTTTTGTTGTCCCCTGACGTCAGCGAGATAGGCGTGGAGGTAGACGATGCAAATCGTCGACGTAGCCAGCAAGATGCTAGTTTCGTTGGCGTATCAGCGTTCCTCCTCAGCTACTTTAGAGTTCTCCCTAAGAGTGCCTGAGAATGAGCAGGAGGAAAGCGGACTTGTTCCGGCGTAGGCGGCGCCATTGTGGACGATGAGCGAGTGGTGCGCTGGCTGATAGCATTTTGCTATACATAGCCGTGTCATTTACGTTGTCGGTGATGGTATTTTTGTTCCTCCCTAGCCTATTGCAGTAACCCCTTGTTGCGACAAGGTAGAGGGAATTCTATGGAAGATAAGTCGCGATTTACAGAGGATAGTTCCAAGAAGGGCCGGCCATCATGGTAGTTATCTTCGCTTTTGCCTCATTCTCCAGTATCCAAGGTAACCGGCATAACCAACTGTGGAAACCGCTCAGCTCGAGCAGCCAGGTCTTTTCTTCAGCCGCAATGTCATGCTTCGAATTGCCCTTGAACCAAGCATGCAACGCAAGCCCACCGGCCAAAGGGCACGCCAGCGCCCAAACGAATGATGGCGGTGATAGCTGAGCCTTGACCTTGAAGAAACACACACATATATATATATATATATATATAGTCCACGTCAAAGGTGCAGACAAAGCCCAGCTCAACTTGGGCAAACTTGAACGGTGCCCTTAGCGCTAGGACGTCGCATGTGGCTACGCCATACAGCCCAATGAGCGTCAACTAACCTCCAAACTGAAGAACAAGCACGATGTTAGCAGCAATCAATTAGAATGCCGTGATGCGAACGCCTGCCGCCCATGGCCTGGAACGTCCAATGTTTAAACCCCACAATAAGCGTGCCAACATACTTGTCAACGTCAGGATCGGATGTGTCGTGTATCAAGCCTCCACCGACTGTAAGCGGTGGCCTGTGCAATAATACCACCATATCTTCCACTCCTCATGCAACATCCTTAGGAGCAAGTAGGTCACTCAGGCTGTTCTTATTATTAAACGGAACACCGATAGAGAGGCCGATAAATGATAAGCCGACAGGCCCAATAAGCAATGTCGCATCAAGTGTAATACCCAGTTTGTTCTCCTTATACCACTGACCAATATTCTCAATAGAAAAGGGCCTTATTTTCTACCAGAAAGGCGCCTTAGTGCCCTTTTCAGAACTCCAAGGATCCAGAGTATCCTCCTAATCTATTTCCTTGTCGGTGGGGCTATATCTGTAGTCCTTTGGGTTAAGGAGCAATTTCTACTCTTAGTCTTCTTCTTTTTACCAAAGACGTAGTCCAAGCCAACCTCAGACTTTATGTCGTTCTTCCGTACCACGACCAGGTAGAATGCTACTGTAATGACTGTCTCTGATTTCTTGTCGTCCCTTGACTTTGCATCCGCTTTCTCACTAGGCTTCTTAGTAGGCTTGAAAAGAAGGAAGTCGTCTTCTACCAACCTGGCGCATCTAGTTGGACATATTCTCAGGTTCGTGAACTCCTTGCACGGGATAACCGGATTTACCAAGCCACCTTGTTTGACAGGGGTCGTGTCTTGCACTCAGAGCAGGAAGAGCTGCTCCATGGACTGGAAAGGTTGCATTAAAAGTCGGCATGTCAACAGATAGAGCTTAACGGCAATGGCAAGCCGAAGACGTAAATTTGGTGCCTCAAGCATACGACGCATCAATCTCAAGGTTTTCGAGCGCAATAGGGGGAGGCTGCGACTTGCTGGCCGGATCATAATCAGGCACAGGGCATTGACTTGCACCTTGAACCAGATCTGTTCTTTCGAGAGGCCGATTTCGCTTCTTGGTATTCCGGCCGGTATGTTGGCAAACTTGCCCTCTTCAGATGATATCAGACGCCCGAGGTTGATGGTGCGCAGCTGACAGTCGGATTTGACGGGAGCCAGCGGCTCAATGATGTGGTAATCCTCGAACTATGGAAGAGCGCGGTCGTATTCTGTAATAAGACGCGTCAGTGGAAGGAAACTGTATTCAAATTGTAAAGCTTCATCTCGCCAGTCCAGAGCTTGCCGCGTAACTAGATTCCAGTTGTCTTTAACCAGCCAAAGGTGAACAGAAACACAATCGACTTCTCAAGTGCTTTGACAGCAGACTTGCCAATCTTGACACAGGCCTTAATGTAGATAAACACTAACTCCAGTAATTCTCCCATTCCCGTCTAGCTACAGCACCAACTCCACTCATAGCTCGCAGCTCTGTTAGGATTTCCAACCTCTTGACGTTCATGGTCACGGCAAGATTTTGCTCCGTGAGGCTGATGCATGTTTCGAATCAGAGGTTGCTAGTAGGAATCAATATAGCGCAGAGACAAACAACGCTTCCGGTAGACTGGATGACGTCCGCTTTGGCACCAAGTCCGTACGTGGCCTTTTTACGCGTGGTTAAAAGTATCTTGTTGACCTTAATCCTGTCTAAGATGACAGAAAGCCAACTCTACAATCCCGTGGTCTCATGGTGAAACTGCAGGCGGAGATGGGTAACGTACTCCATGCCAGGCCTGTACTACGGCGCGTTGCAAAAGTCTTTATCCGTGTCCAGCACAATTAGCAGGTTGCCGTTATTTGTAATAAGCTTGAGCACAGGGAACTTGTTCATGTCGACGCCAACAACCTCGGTCATGTCTTGTAGCGTGGCACTAAAGGCATCGGCAAGCTTGTTAAGTCCAAAGACAACGGCACGCCGATTGATGAGCATGTTAGCCAGGGAGGCCAACGATACCAGAGTCTCTGTGCCACTGGCCCAGGAGAATGTGTACTCAGCAAAGACCAAAGTTCGCTCATCGACAAATAGCACAGTGATAGAAAAGGTCAGTCCCGTCATCTTTTGCATCTCCCACTTGTTAGCTGTCATAGACATGGCAATTCCTAGTAGGGATTCGCAGCTCTTCCCTTCATTCCAGGTAAAGAACCGGCTGAACCAGTGGAAACCACTCATCGTCGGGAGCAAAGGGGACTGGCTTGTCGATAGTAGGCTCCTCGGCCAGACTGAACACTCAAAGATGCAGCGTGTCAATCAGGCCAAATGGCCAGTTCTCCATGTTAAGTGGCACAAGCTTTGCTTCCAGAGGGAACCGTGAGGATCCAGTAATGGTCTCTGACGCAATGTAGACTGCGGGCTGCGCATTTTTTGGCGAGATAGGACGCCTCAAGATAACTGGTGCTTTTGAGAGGGGCTCTATCGGCCTAGGAGCTATCCATTTGACAGTCTTTGGCTGGCCAGAACTGGCGATTGGGACCCAGTCTTCATCGTCTTCATCCAAGGAGTCGACATTTGAGTCAGACACATCTTCCACCCCAAACCACGGCCCTTTCTGGTGGTGGTGGCCATGCAATAAAACCATCGACTTGATGTAGCCCCAGTTGTTAGTAAGCCAGGGTCATAGTTCAAAAAGTTGCGGCCGTTGATTTAGACTCAGCCGTCATAGTCCCAGTCGCCCTTCGCATGATGTCCACGGTCATACGACAAACTTCTTGGCGGATCTCTTCGTCGCATGCCTCTCTTCCCCTCTGCTGTTAAAGTAACAACCCCAAGTTCGTATCTTGTTCAGAGGGAATTTGGGGCTCCACGGCCGGTGTTCATCGTTTCTTATCTTATGAACTTCATCCCTGAGCGCATATATCCAGCTAACCAAATGGTTCGGGTGCTCATTGTCAAGCATGCTGATGCTGAAACGCTTCTGGATAGAATTTTCAGAATCTTTCATCACCAGGTAGGCTGGCCACTGACACGAAAAAAAGGGCAGGCTTTCCCAACCCTTGAACCTGTGCTGTGTCCAGGTGAACCAGGCGTCCAAGATGAAGAGTACCTCCCTGTATTATTATTGTTTATCTCCACGTTAGCAATAGAACTCTCATGGGCGATTAGCCATGAATGAGGGACGGACCTATGTGGATGTCTATATTCCTGACCGGCTGACGCGGCGATGTTCTAAGGCAAGAAATAGCAGAAATTCTGGGCGGGGTTTGAGGACGAGGAGGTGTGTAGCCGTCTTTGCATCGTTCCAGACAATGGTGAGGGCAACGCTTAACATGTCCTTCTCCGTGTGATTGGGTTTAAATGCGAAACTTGTTGTCGACGGCGATGCAGTACATGGCAGGCCAAGGTACGTTCTCGGCCTGGCCTGGGGATAGGTTCTGGATCGGGTTTCCGTGCTTGGTGCTGCTCTCGAGCAACTTCTTCAGAGACCCCATATACTGCCATTTGTCGTCCATCAGTCGTCTAAGTCGTGTCTGAAGAGGCCGGCCGAGGAGCCAACGATGGCTGAGCCGAATATTGAGCAACTTGAATGACCGACGGGGCTGATTGAAGAGCCCTACTCTAAAGAGACCCTTAAGTGTCTGCTTCGATTCCCTATCGCCTGTGTCCCGGGTCTAATCAATCATCGTGTTGCCCGTGGGCCAGTGCGGTGCGTCCTAGCGGGTGACGATGAAGGCGTCAAAGAGAAGGTGGCTGTTTTGCCCGTAGCACTTGTAATGCTGCTCGATCCGCCAGATTGTGGTTTCAATCACCGGTAGGCCCTCCTTTCGGCCTCCGTTGACTAGGAACGGGCACAGCATGATAGGCCTCTTGTCCTGACCGCCATGGTTCACGCATGATAAGATATGGATAGCACCGACGCTAGCTAGTATAAATTGTACGTATATCATATGCCTATTGTTCGTCGACTCTATTGGACTTTATTGAGCAAAGCGCAGCTTTGAAACTTCACAGGGTGGGCTTCGGCAGCTGATTAGTTCAAAACCGGAACTGGCTTTGGGGATTGGCCAGTTCACTCTTATATAAGAAGTCAATAAAATCTGGATTAGTACCAAATCTAGGCTTTTTGGCCATGTCTATGATCATGCGGTGTAGTATTTACTCAGGGGTTATACTTGAAAGAGACTAGATAAGTGTAAAAGGAGGCAGGCAAAACACCGACAGGGCCGCTGGAGACAAAGATGATCATTCACCTCTGTCATCATTGAAGAAAGCCTCACGAACAAGTTCACGCAAAGAGAGAGACAACAAAATCACGCAGAGAGAGGTCAAGAAGGAAGCAGAGGCAGGGCTCGAGAGCTCTGCGCTTTGCTCCCCCCATGGGGCTACACACAGTCCTGTAGTCCCTAGCAGAGTACTGGCTTGAAATCTCAGATCTTTTGTAGTAACTGTGTAAATTCATCGCATGGGGAAGTAGTCTCTATAACTTGGCTCTGAGATTGAGCCAGACTTTGACATCCCCATGGATTGATCCAGCAGGAATCACAACCTCGACTTCGACCTCTGTCTCTCCCACACTACGTGCCGCAACCTCGGCCTTTGGCACATCCTCTATCCTGTTCCTTTCCGCCTGCTTTGCCTCGCCACCTGGTCATTTATCGCCAGTCTTCTTCTTGGGGTAGAAGAACTTGTCCGAGACAGCCGGTGGCCAAGACGCTACGCCTGCAGTCGAACACTTGAACATCAAGGTCACCGACAACAACAACAACGAAGTCTTCTTCAAGATCAAGCGCTCTACCAAGCTTGACAAACTTATGACAGCTTTTTGCGAGAGACAAGGAAAGGCTATGAATTCCGTACGATTCCTTTTCGAGGGCCAACGTGTGCAGCCCACTTATCCTTGTCGCCAGACTTGGCGACAAAGACGCGGTTGGCAAGGGCCTTGGCATCGGTGATGATGGCGATCTGCGCGTCCTTTTGCATGATGATTGGCTGTGAGGTCACCTGGACGGCTTCGCTGAACTTTGTGGTGGGCGAACTGGACTCGATGTCCGCGTGGGCGCGGTACAGCGTGAGCTTGCTGTTGATGTTGTTGATCCAGTAAACAAAAACTCGGCCCAAGGCGTGAGGGTTGAAGTCTGTGACATTGCCAGTGTCGAGTTCTGCTGCGGGGACAAAAGTGCTACCAATGGGACTGAGATCGATGAAGGTCTTGGAGTCGTAGTTGACAGGCGACTCTGACGATGATTTCACCGTATTAGTTTGGTGAGGGCGTAACAATTGTAGAAAGGAAGAGGAGGAGGAGAAGAAAGAGGAGCTAGAAGCAGATAATGGAAACCATCAGGAGCAAGTCAGATGGTTAATACTCACCCTGTTGCATATTTTTGGTGTCGTATGCGACCACACGGCCTCCATTCTGTTGGAAGAGTACCCAAGAGTTCTTGCTATCCTAAAAGGAACTCAACCAAGTGTTGGGCTTGATGTCTTTGGTGGGGAGCGTGTCGTTGTTGGACTTGGCGTCAGAGACATCGCTCCAGCTAATGACAGCCTGGCCCTGTTCGTCAGTATTGCTTATTGTTAGACAAGCAGTTCTTAGCAATAATAATTATAGGGAAATAATTTGAAGAAGAGATCTTGCAAGAGGGGCGTCTCTTACTTTTGAAAGTATATCTAGGCGTTAGTACTGTTGGTGTAGCCTGCAATGTAGCCAGTGCTCGGCCATCTCCAGCGACACGGGCTCAACAAACGGACTAACTAGGGCCACCCACTGGTTCTCGGCAGTGACAGCGAAAACATTGGTCTTGAAACGTCATAAGTGTCAGCAGACGCATGCGCTAATCAGTCTGCGCGGGAGACAAGAAAAGGGGCAAATATCATCAGCTGTCACTTACAGTATCGTCTTACTTGAGCGCCACAATAGACGACAGAGCAAGAAGAACTGTAGAGGGCACGGGGTTCTGGGTTCGGATTCCCTTAGGTGACATAAGTGCCAGCACCGCCCAAAATAGGCCGCTGCTCAACCCCAATAGTGTGCGTCCTAGGAAGCCACAGAAGACCTGACACAGTTCAGGTTGTTGGGGTTGACAATCGCCGCAAAGGTGGAAGGGTTGGCTGTGAGCATAATGAGCAGAGACTGCGGTCGAAAAGATTAAAGATGAACAAACTTTGTTGGCAAGTGGAAGATATCCTTGATGCTAGGGATACAGATGACAAAGTGTGACCCGAGGCCCATCTATATGTATTTCAAAGCAACGAGGTAGCTATTCTGAGAATGTTGATCTGACTGCAACACTCGGTCCATAACGAAGCTGTCAAGACTAGATCGAGGCCACGGAAACAATCCGACAAGAGACAATATCTCTGAGTGAGTGTCCTTGACGAGGACCCAGGTGTAAGCGTCTCAGCCTCTACCGTCTGCGAGGAGCACAAGCGAGCCCAGCCCCCGACTCTGTCGTGGTCGAATCACCTGGCCAGATATACCCAGGACTATAACCGTCGCTTATTGCGAATTACTTATTCACTCGGCCACGAAGAGCCTAAAAGCTGTACGGTTGATAATCTGCGCCCAGCTAATAGCAACCACGTAGGTAATGCATGCGCGACGAGCCAACGGCTAAATCCGGAACAATAATTGTATAAATATGGCAGGGATATTACAATCAATACGTTGAACGCCCCTCCCTCAGTTACACGATCGACTAGCAGTGCAAGGGAGTAGACCAAGAATTTCGCCGTTTCCAAACCCTAAGTTTCAGCTTTTATGCTATCTTCATCTATCTATAAGGCAATATGACCTAGGCATCACCCAACTTTAAGATTCAGTGTGCTCGGTTGACGGAGAACGCTCCATCCGAGCCAAGGCACACTTTATCTTTTAATGGAAAAGGATGGCCAATCTTCTATTGCAGCTGTCCAATAATACGAATAGCAAAAGATTGCAAGCATGTTTGTACGCTCCTTAACTAGCTGCATCATGCTGGGATCCTGGCGCACTACCTGATTCCTAACCTGTCTTATATCCCGCAGGAAACACTCCGCTTCTTCCACATCGATGCCAACTGGACCGATGCCCTCGTGGATGGCGCGCTGAGTCTCGCAAGCTACATCACTTCGACCCCCCAGGAAGACTTTTGCCACTCGTCAATCAAGGAGTCCCTGAACTGCTACTTGAAGACACCACTAATGACTAATTACTACTAAAGCCAGAGGACCCTGACACAGTGGAAATCTTCCACAAGCACATATGCCACTCTAAGAATGGCGACAGGTTAATCGAAGGATGAACTGGCATTGCAGTTGGCCACACGGATGGGATCGGATGCGGGGACAAGCGCCGCATAGCAACAGATGGAGATGCCATATGGCCGGCTGTATATGTCGAAGGTCGTTCTACTTGGAAAATGTGCCATTGAGCGATTCAGATCAATGAGGTGGGAGTGAACTGACAGAAAATGAAGAAGGGATGGGTACGCATAAGTGAACACAGTCGATCAGGTGATTGTCGTTGTTAATGTTGTTGTTGGAAATGCCCTTCCTTGCTCACTCTCACTCTCAGTTACCCTCACACTCACTCTCTCACTGACCTCCATTCCTCGGCTCTCCCTCACCCTCAACCTCACCTCTGCTTGCCTTGATCTTGAATCTTCATCCCACACCCTCTTTATCAACGGGTCCGCAGACAGTATTTGCCCACAGCCTCGCTTTTCTTTTGCTAAACACAACGCGCCGCAGTCAAAATACCCAGATCTCTCCGCAGACGCTCACCTCGTCTCACTTCACCTGTCTTGTAACTGTACCTCAGTGGCGGTGGAGGGGGTAAGATGAGGTGCTAACCGAGCGCAGCTCCAGGTACGTATCTTCAGCACAGATCGGCGTGCACTGGTGGTGGGTGCGCTCACGCGACGCGACGCGTCACGCGTCATGTCCAGTAGGTACCTACCGGTAGGTGCCTGCCCATGCGGGGAGGTACATACAACGTACTTCTTAGGGTGGGGTAAGCAGGTAGGTACCTAGGTACGTATCACTCACCCACTCGCCTTAGCTTACGTACTCTCACCTTCAATCGCACTACTACGTAACCTCAACTCACCCTCACGTTAAATCACCCTTACTAAGCCGAACACTAACCCTGATCTCGCGTTGTCTTCATGTTGTCACGGCGGCAGCGGCAGTAGTTACTGCGATTGCCGTGACTTCTGATGTGCCTACTTAAGTGTGGTCTTTTTCTGAGATTTGGTGCCTTTGTGGTCGACTGGCCGCCGGGGCGGGTTAACTAAGGACCAAAGGACAAGTAGAGATTAGTGGCTTACATAAACTGCCACCCCATATTTCAGTCACGCCAAAATGCTACTGCCACTGCTGCCACCGCCACTGCCACAACCTCCCCACCACAACCTCACTAACACAACCTCACAACCTCACCACCACACCTTACCACCACATTCCGATTGCTGCCACCATTTGCTTTGGTGGGCGCACCCACCCATATCAATTGAAGTTGATGCCGGCAGATATCTGGCGATACATTGAAAGCTGACATCCTGTTGCCGCCTGGGAAATTCCTGCGTGATACAATGCCTGAAGGGTGTTGCGACCGGTGGACGAATTGACCTTGCTGGCACCGACAAATCAGTTAATCCGCGAGCATCAAGAGCTTGATCGAGACAAGGAGAAGAATAAGATGGACGTGGCCTGCCAATCGCGTACATGATGGGGACTGCTTACGGCTGCTTGGTAGTTCGCAAATGTTGGCCACCTACTACATCACACCAAGCCATGGCATATCAGGCTCCCAAACCCCATTGATGAGCTGACGCCAGGCCTCGGCCGTGACACCATCACCCGCCAGGGACGTGTCCTCGAGCCCCAGCCGGACCAAGACCGCGAGCCGCCGCATCTCCGTCACGACCTGACGACGCCGAACATGGAGCTTGACGAGACGCCGCAGAGGGCCAAAGTCACCCTCGTCTGGCATCGGTAGCCGGGAGGCCGCCTCGCTGTCGTCCGTGTCAGCCGCGAGGCTTACGATGAGGGCCCGGGCGCTGTTGGCCCGCTCTCGAGGCGTGAGGACCCGTTGCAGCTCAGCCCCGCGACCGCTTGTCGAGCGCTGGAATAGGACCTTATGGAGGTTCGACCGGGCCAGCATCTCGTTGATAGAGATGTTGACGAGCTCCTGGGTGGCCGTGTGGTAGCGGAGCATGGCGTCGTTCAAGGCCTCTACCGCCACCGTTTGGGCACCACCACCGACGGGGCCGGTTGTGGCAAGCCGGCGTGGCCGCGATGGAGTAAGGGGGCCTTGTGCTTGCTGTGACAACGGGTTTATCAGTGGCGGCGGCGGCGGCGGCGGCGGCGGCGGGAACGGTCGCAGAGGTAGACCGTTTCTGGGACGCGACGAGGGCCCCGAGGGCGTGCCGTAGACCACCGTACCCCACCTTCGACCATGACCGTTATCGTCATTGTTATCACGGCTAGCCCGCCGACTGTCCGGAGGCGTGAGGGGAAAGATGCCCGAACAGGGTGGACGAGCCTGGCGGCTCGTGGGACTCCGGGCTGGCGGCGTCAGCAGCACGAGCGGCCGGTGCTGAGGTGTTGGTGGTTACACCCGGCCGTGATTGACCTGGTGCTGTTGCTGTGGCCATGTCGAGAGAGGACTGAGTGGCGGCGTCGACAGCGGAGCAGGACCTCGATCGGTGCTGGTATGGGTGGCGGTGTGTGGTTGATCTCGGCCTGCGGCATCATCGTCACCGTTGGGTTCCCGGCCTTGGTCTTGCTGGGCTGGTGCCTCTCGCGGTTGCGGTTGCGGCGGCGGCGGTGGATGATATGAGCCCGTTTCATCGCCTTTCCAGTGCGGATGTAACCAGGTGCGTCGCAGCTCGTCAGGCCAGCGCAAACGGTAGGCCTCAAGTTCAGCATCCCAGTATCTCACGAGACAATGCTCCTTAGCAACCTTAGCAATAGTATACTCAAGGCTAGATAGTACTTTTCCACTAATTGCAGCCCACTCGTTGTTTGATAGAGAGGGAAGGTCTACGTTCATCCAGGCAGCAAGTTGGTGGAGGTCAGCATCCTGGCCAGGACGTTGCCTTGGGCCAGCAGCATCAACCCGGCAGCGTATGGTCTTGGTTGAGGGCGCCCCCTTGAGGCTTTTGATATCAGATGGGCTTAGGCGGTAGAAGGCAAGGAAGGACTTGATCAAGATCTTATCCGACGGCCACCATAAGGCCTTGTTGTATCTAGAAACCGAAAGGAGCTCGGCAAGGGTACGTGTACGGAAAATGAACGAGAGTCGGTCCTGGCTCGGGAGCAGCAGTCAGCAAACAGACAAGTGTAAGAAGATTGGGAGGAGGAGGAGGGTGACAGAGAACTGTCAAGCCTACAGGTGATTCATTCTCGTCGTTTTGAGGAGAAGCCGGCTCACGAGGAGGAAGCAGAAGATGGTCGTCGCAGATATCAGACATGGACGGTTGGCCGGGTGGTTGATGATGGTGGGGTGAAGAAAGAAGAAAGAGGAAGAAGATGGGCCGGATTTTGGCCGTGCGCCCGGCAATATGTCTGATATCAATCCGCAGGAGATTATTTCTTCCGTTCACCGCCAGTCGTTGTCGGCCGGAGGCAGATTGGACCTCAAGTCTCATTTCCCCGTTTGCTTGACAAGTCAAGACGCGCGCACACTCCCCATGCTGCAGCCTGTTGGACAACGTCTCTCTTTCTATCCTCTCATTCTCTATCTCTGTCTCTCCTTCTCTCCTTCGCTCTTCCTGCCCGCCCTTTTCATACTGAACTCATCGTCAGTACTAAGACATAAAACAAGCAACGACAAGCTTGTGTACCGCCGCCACACACCATGGACGAGTCTCAGGTGGAAGCCCTGTTTAGGAAGGTCACAATCGATAAGACGTTCCAGAGCCTACCGGATTTTCTCCAGCCCAAGTACGTGGATTGGTGTAAGGAGTTGAAACAAAAGAATCAGCATCGCGCGAGTAGCGTCACGAGCACGAACAGCACGGCATTTTCTGGGACCGAGTCGCCTCGACCGATGACGAGAAGCCCGGAACGGGGGCTGGCCAGAAGCCCGATTCCTCAACAGAGGCCAGCGGTGCCAGATTTTCGGTTCCCATCGATTTCTCAGTCAAGCGTGGGCCGGGTGCCATCGGAGCTCTTGAATAACATGATGGAGGCAACCAAGGAACCGTACGAACAGCATGAGCGGAATCAGAGGGAGCTGGCCGAAGGGGCGCGGGAGATCCTTCTCAACAACCGCAGTCAACAACACCAGCACCTCGCCGCCGCCGCAACCCAGTCCCAGCGAGTGGATGACATATTTGCTGAAGGCGACGGCAACAACAACGACGACGACGACCGCCACCACCGCCCAAACCATGATGATAAATCTGTTGAATACGACAACGAGTTGAAGAAGAAGGTTCGAAAGCTGCGGAGCCAGTTTGCAAAGGAGGCGATGTACTATGATGAGCAAAACAAGCTATATCAGACGGCGGCGCGGGAGACACAGAAGTACCGAGCCGAGTGTTCGAATGCGTCCATCGCCATGACACGGCTGCTGAACCAGATCCAGATGCATGAGCAGGAGCTTGAGCAGGCAGGCAATGACATGGGCGACGGAGGCGGCGGGAGCGGCGAACACGGGGAAGGGCAGGCATGGAATGGTCACCAACGACGGCAGCGCAACCGCGGCCGAGGCGGAAACGGGGGTAGAGCCTGAGTCGCGATGTCGGACCTGGGGAGGGGGGGGGGAGGCCAATGGCTTGTTATGTCTTTCTTCCGAGGTTCGATTCTCTTTTTGTGTTTGATGGTAGGACGCACGCAGATATTAATGGCCGATTGATTGATGTTATCACGATACCTTCATTTGCATAGGCAACAAGCCACACCCAACACAGCCTTAACCTCAGCCTCAACAGTGGCGGTGGCGGTAATACACCATTCGTGGCGGCTGTGGTAGCAGCAATGTTGCTGACAAATGCAATTGACTGCCACAGCGCCACAGATGTGGCTGAAATGATGCACCCACCCCGCTTTGAACCGGTGTCGGATCATCCATCATACCGGCTCCACTTTACCGTGCCCCATTTCCCGGCCTTTTTCCATCTGAAAAGCGGGTCCAGATTCATTTACGGCCCACTTCGCCGGGCTCTGACAGCCAGCCAGCCCGTCTTTTCACTAGGTACGTACCTTTACCACCAATTTGTACACACTGTCTAGACAGGCACAAGAAACATTACGCAACAAGACGGCGACAAATGTTACAAACATGACAGACTGTCTAGAGCATAGGCGAGTCGCAGGAGGCGAAAGACATTCCAGACTCACCTCCCGGTGATGGACTACCCACGCACAGGGCATCATCAGGTTCCAGTGGGTTTTCAAGACGCGGTGAGGGCGGCTGCATACAACCTGCAGCCTACATCTGATGAACGATGGCGACTGACGAGACAACTCAAGAGACATTCCACGCTCACCGCCTGGTAATGGACTGCGTGGATACTGATGTTTAGGACAGCGAGGTTTATTTATGCACAGTGAATGAATCATCAGGTTCCCGTACGTCTCCAAGCCGCAGTGAGGGCCGTTGCATGCATGCAACCTGCAGCATACATCTGATGAACCATGGCGACTGGCGAGATGAACACCTGCTGCGAACACCTGTCTTGGAGGCAAGACGAACGAACACCTGGGGACGAGGGATGAACGCCTGGGGATGAGAGACGACCTCCTGGTGACGTAGAGTAACGCGCTTATTGAAGGATGGGCTCTGCTCTGCTTTACTTAACCAATGCATCCCCCTCGTTGCCTCCCAGGCACACACCTTTCTCCTCTAGTTCTGTTCTTCTTCTGCCAGTCTATCTATCCTATTGGGGAACCACAAAAGCGAATGCCGCACTCACTACCTACCATGTCCTCCCTTCTAGCTTTGCATTTGCGGGGACGCCTGCACTTGCTGACCTGAAGGGGGGACTGTCACACCTCCTCTACTCTTGGCTTCCAGTCTAGTTTCCAGCTTTCACCAAGGTACGAAATCGTCCCCTGTCAGGTTGTATCAGTACATAGTATTAACCATGCTTCTAGCTATCACAAAGCACTTCTGGCTTCTAGCCACTTGCTCCTAGCCCCATATTACCGGCTCACGAACATCACAGAGGTACGAATTCGTCCCCCGTTGGGTTGCACGGGTACACAGTACTCACCATACTTCCAGCCATTACACCACAAGTTCGGCTTCTAGCCATCACAACTCACTTATGGCTGGAAGCCATAAGTGAACCTCTCCCTACCTCTCTCCTGTCTCTCCCGCAAAACAACCACACAAACCTCCTCGTCATCGCGCCTGTAAGCCACACGGCTTTGCAGGGCATATGGCAACTACAAAACAACTCTCTTCAGGCTGTAAGACATAAATTGCGTCTTCAGCCGCCTATTTATGGCTCATGGCCATCACACACACACACACACACACACACACACACACACACACACAAAAGAAACTCTCCTGTCTCTCCCACAAAACAACTTTATACAACCAACCACTTTGTTATCTTGCACGCAGGCCTACCAGCCTTGCAGGGCAGATAGCACAAAACAACTCTTTTGGCTTGCAGCCAGCCATACTTTCACTTTGCCGTCTTGCACGCAGGCCTACCGGCCTCGCAGGGCAGATGGCATAAAACAACTTTATACAACCAACCACTTTGTTATCTCGCACGCGGGCTTACCAGCCTTGCAGGGCGGATGGCACAAAATAACTCTTTTGGCTCACAGCCATACCTTCACTTTGTCGTCTTGCACGCGGGCCTACCGGCCTCGCAGGGCAGATGGCACAAAACAACTCTTTTGGCTTACAGCCATGAACACTACCTAAACCCACAGCCTATCACAAGGTGTGTGGGTTGGGAGAGACAGAGAGAGGGGAGAAGAACAGCTCCTTTGGCTCACAGCCATAAACACTACCTAAATCCACCGCCTATTACAAGGTGTGTGTGGTCAGGAGAGACAGAGAGGTGATGGTTGTGGTCACTGTATCCACATTGTGCTCTGGTCTGGCCAGACAGAGTGCAGTGTGGGGATAGTGACAAGCTGGGATCGCAGGTGTGTGTTGGTGGGTGTGGTTTGGAGGCATGGATTGGAGGCATGGATTGGAGGGGTGGGTTGCATGGGATTATTACCTTTCATACTCGGTTGATACAGTGCTAATACTACGGTATCAAACTGGAAACAAGACATGCTTACGTGACTTGAGGTGAATCAGTAGTACATTTGTTGATATCTGCTGAAGACATTGATTGTGTCGCGATGTCTTCATGGTATCGCGCAGCCTTGCGGGAAATCATTAGGGCCGTACTAATGCGGCGCAACGGACTGTGATCCAGCTATATCCACTCGGCCCCACTAGGAGATTCGTATGTCTACGTCTTCTCTTGGTGCCCTCCCCGGCATCGGCTGGGTGAACCAGCAGTATATTTGTTGGTATTTGCTGAAGGCTAATGAAGGGGAAAGGAAAGGCAAAGTATCCGGCAGCTGTATAGAAGAAGTGGGATGCCGGTTTGCCCGAAAACCCAGCTTTCCCGGATCCGTTGTTGCCCATATCCCAACACTGGCAACTTTTCCTTATAGTGAAGAATTGGGTGAAGCCTTTCGGCATATCTATATCCGTATCTATATCCGTGATCCATCCATCCGTGTGTTCTTGTCAGGCCCTCAGGGCTAGCGACCAAGTTGTGATGAGATGTTGATGTGCTGGCAGTTGGGCTGACGGCCGAGCTGATGATGGGCCTTCTGGCAGCTCTTGAAGATGTGAAAAGAATGAGCGGCAGGCTCTGCTTGGCAGAGGCTAGAGGTTGTGATAAGGGTGGTTACAAGGAGTGATAGGTAGCAAGAGGTGAAGATATATCTGGCCAAGTAGAGGTCTCTTCTTAATAGCGCTATATAGTAGTGTTGGTATCACTAGGGGATCGATCCATGGGCCACAAGGTCATCTTGAAGTTGGTGAATTTGGTGCTGTTGGGTTGATGAGTGTAGAAGGAAGAAAGTAAGTAGGGCCCATCGGCGAAGACAAAGGTGAAGTATATTGTTGCTGCTTTGCTGCCTTGTCCATATTCCAACAAGTAGGTAGGCACAGAAGAATTATTATCTATAATACTATAGGCAACAGTAATACCAGCCCAGCGGGGATCAGCCAGATATATCGCGTCAGCGACTGTGATGTCAGCCTATCTGGGTCCATCGCCATAGATAAAGGCGATTCCAGCTTGGCTGGATTCATAATGCCTCGGTGTTACGAGCAGTGGGCTGCCATAATACTTTTCTACGGATAAACAAAAAGTAGGTTTTGGACGCTGCTAACGCAACAAACTGTGGGGGACCCCTTACAGTGCGAGTGAATATATAAGTGTTCGGGCTCGCTAAAATGGCTTTTATACTAGATGAATCTATAGAAATATAACTAGGCTATAAGATGTGCTTATGATATTTATTGTGGAATATCATGTTGTGGTTTATATTGCACTAGGAATGTGGTGTATCTAGTGTTAATAAGCTGTGTGTGGAGTGGAGTACTGTCACTGCGCCCCGCCACTTGACCTGTTCTGCCATCTAATCTTCGCCGATTAGGTCTCAAGAGGCGGTATTAGTGGTGAGAGAGAGAGAGAGAGAAGGAAGATTCTAATCAGGGTAGCGGTTGTCATGTGTTGTAGCGTGGATGGCGATTATCGCGAGGGCGGCACCCCAACAGTCGTCACGACGGCCTTGACGGTAGTTAAAGACTTGCCATCTCTGCGCCAAGCTTGATCGTTATTTGGTGGTTGTTCCGTAGCCTCCTTGCTTGCCACGACCACAGTGTGTGAAGATTCGGTGATGCACCATTCGTGGTGGCTGTGGCGGGGTAAAGCAGCAACCAACAGCAACAATTAACATCAGCTTAGGGATACCGCTCGTATGAAGTCAAATTCGACAACGGAGTGGACATGATAGGAGTCAAGGCACATGGAATACGTGAAAGATGCAGAGGCAGGGGTTGGGCCCAACGAGAGCAAGTGCTGCTAACTGGCAGCAGCAATTATAGGGAACACATATACGGCGACTAAAACTGCTTAGGGCAAATTCAAATTCAATCCATCACCGCCCCCCCGAAGCAGGTCGGCCAAGCGTCTCATCGGTTCGTCGTAGACGTCGAGCTTTTCCCGCACCCGTTGCTCGAACGCCAGATCCTCCTCGCTCATGGGCTCGTCGTCGTCCACCTGTTCCAGCCAGCCGGCCGCAGTAGTTGTGGTCGAGGAGGCTGTGGCGGCAGTGGCGAGCTCTCGGGACGCGAGGAGACGCATTGTCGAGGTGGCCTTCGCAGCCGCGGCCGCCGATTGGCTCTCGGCGAGGCGTTGAGCAGACTCGGCATGGAGGGCGGAAGCCTCAGCAGCCAGGTCGGCAGTGAAGAGGGTGCGGGCGACATGGACGACGATATTAGTACTCGAAGAAGAGACCCTAGCGCCTTCGCCTCCCTCCTGTCCGTTGCTGTTCTTGATGCTACTACTACTACTACTATTGATGTGGGCTGCTTCGTAGTCCCAGCCGCGACCTGTAGCGAGGCGTTGCACCCTGGTACGCTGCTTGTTGGCTTCGTCACAGGCGACGGTCATGGAGGCTGAGGCGCGTCCAAGGGAGCGGACGAGGGGGGTAAGCAGGTCGTTTTGCAGGTTGACGAGGCGTGCAGTACCTCGGCGGATTCTGATTTGACGGTCGGTGGCGGCGATAGGCGCGGGTCGAGAACGCGGTATCTGCCACCACAGCTTGGACGACACCACCTCGGGCGGTGACGGAGCGTTGTCTGCTTGAAGGCCAGAAACAGCAGAAATGTTGAGAGTGCCAAGGAGGTCAAGCAGCTCGTCAATAGCAGTTGAAATCTCAACGACGTTTCGGACCAGGCCATTAAGGTCACTCTCGCCCGGCAGCAGCGCGTCATGGATCTCGTCAGCCTCGTCAAAAGGGTGCTGGTTGTTTGGGTACATTGGAGTGTCGTCAACATCAAGCGGGGGGTTGCGCAAGGCAGCAAAGCGGCGGGCAGACTGCTGCTTGCCCCAGGACTTGAAGTAGTTATTGATTGCAGCAGCTGGATAGGAAGACAACGAGGCTGAGAGGTTCAAGAAGGACATATCGCAGGCAAAGTGCCAATCAGGAACCAAAACTGTAACGTATGCGTCGACAGGCGCCGGTGGAGGAGTGCTGCAGAAGTGGCACTGTTGCCATACGTCACGTTCGGGGTCCAAGAGACCTTTGGCGTAGGCCAGGGGAAGGGAGGTAGCATCATACCCGTCCTCGGCAGCAGTCTCAAGCATCCAGGCGGTAAAAAACAGCTTTGTATCACTGTGGTATAGGCTGGCGGCTTTTAGAGCGCGGAGTGACCTGTGTAGCTTCATGAGGCGATGTGAAATGTGTTGGCAGGTAAGCTTGATGTCGGCATAGAGGGTCGGTGGTGTTGGGACGACGGGATTATTATCATCATTATGCTTGTTTAGAGCGAAGATGTCGCGAGACATACGACTTACGAGCTTTCCTAGCTCGCAGTTTAAACCAAGATCTGGGCTAGTGGCCATGACCTCAGCGATGTCAGCCTTGGCGGCCAGGTGAAGTCTCTCAAGCGACAAAATGTCCTCATAGAGGGAAAGTGGTCGGGTTGTCGGCACGGCGGCAACGTCCAGGACATAGGTTGCGTGAGGAAGTGACAGCAATGGACGGCTCGAGGGGGAGAGATGTTCAACATTGGATGGGTGGAGACGACGGCCAAGGACGACACCACCGGTAAGGACTGCAATAGTGTATAGTGTAATCAACAGCAGCCATGTGACAAGACGAGGAGGGGTGTTACTGCTACTGCTACTGCTGGGGTTCGGGGCCATGGCAGTGGTTATTGCGGCGTCGTCGGCAGTGTGGGTCAGGTCGATGAGATCTGGTAGCTCGTGGATATAGTAGGGCGGATGCGGCGTGCGTAAGAGGGGGGCAGGGTCGTGATGCTCGATGCGGCCAGAGGGCAGTATGTGTAAGGAAACAGGGTCGGGGCCGGGCACGAATCCAGCATGGAAGCAGAGCTCGAAGCACTGGGTGTCTTGTACATGGCCGTGGCTATCGTCGTGTTGGTGGCCGTGGCCGTCGTCGTCGACATGGAGGTTTTTGTCGTCGTCGTCGTCGTTGACCTCGATGTCAAGGATGGGGATCCGAATGGCAAAGCGGACGACGCTAAAGCAGTCGACGGGATGGGAGAAGGTATCGCAATGAGTACGGGCGTGAACTTTGACGTTGCGCATTGCCATTGTTGCGGACAGACGGGTGTTGCTTCGCCTGCGTCAACCTCCATCGGCGACGATGATGAGAAGAGGATTTGAGGGAACTTGTGTACGTGTCGCTCGGGTCATTATGACATGTGTCAACATTGTGTTGTTGTTGTCTTGTGGTCCTTGTTGACTTGCAATGTTTGTTTGAGGTTGTTTGCTGCTGCAAGGAGCAAATGACGTTGATTGGGATAAATTATTCCTATCGATAAGTCCCGGCTGTATTACTAATACGCAGAAATACCTACACAGGGAAAACGCCCGCCATGGTTTTGTCCCTGTTGGTGTATGGGAACTGCGGTGGGAGGATGTTAGTCACGTGCCTCACCGCCCACCGGCAGAAAAGCTACGTACCCACCAGCAACAGGAGCCCATCATCACCACCACTATTGCCCACCTCCACTTGGCTCATTTCACTATTATTCATGTACAACTATCAACGAACAATCCAACCACCATTCTTCCCCACCGCGTGTGATCACACAGCTATTAGGATATCCCATTTGTTAAATATCAGTGAAAACCAACACTATCGATAAGTCCCAGCTGGTATTACTAATACACATTGAAATACTCCGTATGGGAGGGGGCATTTGCCCTGTGCTACTTATTACGCATTAGCCACGTGAGCCACCGTGGCTGGAGCTCCGTGGCTGGAGCTCTTTGACTACTCCTAGATACCGCACAGATAGAGACATAAATCAGACTTCATTGTATATAACTTCAATGACTGGAATAATCAGTAAGCACTACTTGATCGACCCCGTTATCGGCCTTGGAATCTGGATTAGTACTCATCATGCTCTAGGGACAACATCACGAACGACATTGTTATTAACAACAATGAGATGGTGATAACATCAAAAACAAAATACCAACGACCATCTATTTGACAAAACCAAAACCAAAACCAAAACCAGCCCACCCTCTCACGAAACAAAGTCTTCCAAGGCCTCCATATATCGCCCGATGTAGTGGACGAGCTCGGCCTCGACCTCGCCCGTCTCGGAATCCTTCATCGGCCGACGCTCCAGCCTCTCAAGGATCCAGTCGACATTTCCCGCCACCCTGTCGAGCGTCTGCACCCACTCGCCCGCGGCATCCGACATCCTCCCGACGACTTCCCAAGTGTCCATGCCCCCGACGCATAGCACCGCCCCGGCAGACTGGTAGCCCGTCAGGTGCGCGGCGGCAAGGGAATACTCGCCGTACCTCGTCGTCATCGTCTTCGTTGTCATCTCGACATCGGCGGCGGCAGTCCTCGCCCCGTCCATCTCCAGGAGGTGGTCCTTTATCTTCCAATCGCAGGCGTCTAATGCCTCCTGAAAGAAATGCTCCACCTCGCAGAGTGTCAAGTGGAGCGGTCGCCTAGCTCTCGAGTCGTTGCCCTCGCCCGAGGATAAAGAAGCCTCGTCCGAGAATATAGAAGCTAGGTGGACGCCTGACGCCTTGCTGCTCTCGATCAGGCTCGCCAACGTCTTGGCGTACCCCATGAGGGCCTGCTGCTCTGTCGACACCCAAATTTGCCCGGCCACCAGCTTCCATGACTTTACAAGCTCGGCCCAGAGGTACCTGGGAGCCCATGTCGGCCAGCTTCTTGGACTCGTCCAGCTGAGCCCGTTCAAATTGTCCTGGCCCCCCGAGATGGTCGAGCTTGTCTGGATGCGGCGGAGGAGGAGGCGAGCCTGTCGGTACTGGCCAACCTGGTCTATCGATACGTGCCTTTTGTACTGGTCATTCTGCTCCGAGAGCGTGTTAACACGCATGCTGATGCCGCTCCAGAACTGGCTCCACTCCTCTCCCAGGTTGTCAGCGGCAGCAGCATGCGCGTTGGCGGCTGTGAAGCTGGTTTGCCTACTAGAGTCGACAAACGTCCGGAACGAATCGCTAATAAAACGGGCGACGGGCGACATGACCTGGCTATAGACCTGGATCTGGGACAGGTACTGGATGTTGGACGACATATCTCGGACCTGGCCCAAGTAGTCCGAGTCCCTGACCGCCAAGTCTGCTCCATAGCCCTGGCCTTGGACCTGGCCTGTCGAGTGCGGGACGGCGGCCGGGCCGTTTGCCGTCCGGGCCGTTGGGGTCTGGAAGCCCGCGGCAGAGAGGAGCCAGCCGAGGTGTAGAGTTGTTGCGAGTTCCGCCGCCGATATCAACACCCCCTCGACGAAGAGCGCGGCACACCACACGCAGACGGCAATAGTAGCAGGGACCAGGACCCATTTCCTACCCAGGACGCCTTTCACAAGCCTGCACGGCCACAGCAGGCACTTGAAGACGATGACGCATGTCTTGAGCACCAACTGTGTGTGGCTGGCTTCGGACGCGTCGTGGCTTACTCCCCCGGGAGACGGCGATGATCTGCGAGTCTTGTCGCCGTCATTTCGGCCGGCTCGTCTCTCGTGTGGTTGTTGGCCTCGTCTCCTTTCCCGTCTTTGCCGCCTCTGGTCCTCTCTTTCAAGATGAGTTGCCGCCTCGGCAGCGACCCTGCTGAGTTCTTCCGGGTCGACGGGCATTGTTTTGTTTCGTGGAAAGGGGGGGGGGGGGGGGGGGGGGAGTTGCCGTGATGGAATCAATGGGCAAGATGAAGCAGGTCGGGAAGCGATGGACGGTGATTGAGACAAGCAGTAAGAGTAGGAGGGGGTTGTGCAGGTATTGTTTGTAGGCCGAGAGGTAAGTAGTGGCTAGTGACCGAGGAGAGACGCTTTTATATCCATGTCTGTTATGTGAAGGAGAGCGTGCTTGGTTAAAGCAAGACAGAACAACTCATATGCTACTGATACGTTTTGTTTTGAGACGGACATGAAGCGGCTGGCTTCTTTGGCAGAGAGAACGAGAGAACCCGTCATTATCACAGCTTGTAATTACCAAAAAGGTGAGAATGTCCTAGAATGTCAGTCCTTTGTCTGTCGCTTGTCTGTCGCATCCCCATTCGACCAGACAGAGAATACCTGCTGTGCCTGCACAACTGTGCCTGGCTCTGGATCTGAGCTATCGTATTATATTATGTGATATCCTGCCTCCACTAACTGCGACAGTCTGGTACCGACCAGCTTCATCGCCGCTTGGGCCGCTGTGATAAGTCAAAGCACCCGCTTTTCGGCCACACGCATACTTTGTTGGTTTTGGATGGCCCGGTCGCGTCAGTAACAGCAGCTTCTCGTAGTATCTGGCTGGGTAACTAACTATTGAGCACGGAGTCACCAGTCAGTCACCTGGGGCTTGAAACTACCGACACAAGGAGAGGAAAAGAGAAAACTGGCGAGTATAAAACATGTAAATTAACTCCCAGACTCCGCAAATCTCTGTCCTCCAGCCAGCCAGATAGATAAGGCATCATCAGTCTCGGGCGCAACAGAAACGTCAGCTCGCATCGTTACCAAACATGTCGTCGTCCAACCGCCAACTCGTCCGCCAACTCCTCGTAGCCGCTACAGTCGGTGCAGTCCTTGCCAGCATTCTGTTGACGGCTTTTGCCCGCCAGCCATCGCCAGCGACCGTCTCGAGCAGCGGCGGCGGCGGTGGCGGCGGCAGAGGCGGCATCCTCCCGCAGCAGGAAAGGCCGTCGACGGTCAAGATCTGCAACGCCCTCCACGCCCTCAGGGAGATGCACCCAGAGAGTCCGAGCCTCGTGCTGAGCCCCCTGGAGCTCCTGAGCCTCTCAACCACTGACGTGGCTCTCCGCGACGCTGGGAAGGCGTCTTCTGCAAAGGCAGGGTCACAGGCAAACAGGGCCCTCCGGGCGGCCATCCTCAAGAGCGGGAACCATGTCCGGGAGCCCCTCTGGGCGAGATGTGCATGGAATAAGAAGAAGAACAAGGGTGGTGGTGTTGATGGCGGTGGCAGTGATGACTGTGCAGACGGGCTGGCTCAGCGCACAATCCGCGCCAGCTACGTCGTCAGCGATATGCTATTAGACAATGCGGCGCGCGTTGAGTTCCTGACAAAGCTGCAGCCGAAATTGGGCGAGAATGGTGCCGTAACTCTCAAACATCGGCTGGAAGCTGTTGACCGGTTCTGCGCCCACGCCTGGAAATCAAGGGGGTGGTAAGGGGGAGGGACACGCATGTCTGTCTTGATGGACAGATGGATGGATGACGGTTGTTTGTTTGTCTCTTTCTGTAATTTCGGCCACTCCCGTAAACATGTTGTTCCCTGAGCATCGTGTCATTTCCGTGCCGTCTAGATATTACAAGGAGCTTCCCGAGACTTCCTTGTCCTTTGTTAGTCATTTCCCCTTTTTGTCCCAACGTTTCTTTCCATTTGTTTCAGCTTGTTGTCTCAATTTGTCTGATCACATCATGAACGAATGAGCTAGAATCCGTCGTCGTTCTTTGTCACGTATCACTGCCGTATCCAAGACACCGTCAGCTATCACAGTTCCACGGTTGCTTTGTCCGTCCAGTCCCCCCTTTATCTGCAAAAGATGCACTTGTTCATACCGTTTCTGCACCCGTGATTCTAGAATGTTTCAAGCAATACGGTTCTAGAATCTTGTAGGTTGCTCTTCTGGTGTATCTTTCCCCCCTTCTCTTAAAGTCATAAGACAAGAGGTCCTCCCGTCACAACAACAAGGCCAACGGCAAACCTCGTGAGTTCCTCAGCGGTCTGTATCTCTACATACTCTTCTCCCAGACATCATTAATTGGTTAGCCTCCTTCTACCCAGCGTCTCAAGCACCAGATCGCCGCTGGTGCAAACGGCCCCTTACCCCTGATGTTAACATTATCAAAAGACAGTTTTCGCGCATGGTCGGTAGAATCAGAACACGGATTGTTACCGAAGACACAAGCAAGGAATTCCCCTCCAACATGCTCCTACGCACGCTCGCTTTAATACGTGTATTGGTCTAGATATCTTGGCTAACATTGGGCATGAAACATCTAGGTAGTGCCTTTGCTCTGGCTGCCCAGCACCGACCACGAGACGCCATGTCTACCGACCGCTCACTCCGAGCACGCCAGCTGTACCGATTCTACCAAGCAGCCACAGGCGAAGAGAAGTCAGATATCTGGAACCGGCTTGAGACGGCGGATCCCGGCTTCAAGATGCTCAAGGACCTTGGCTGGGATTTGCAGTTGGTCGACGGAGATGAGGAAAAGTGGTTAGATGGTTGGAACAAGAAGGGGCAAATCAAGTCATGGATCTCTAATAACCTCGCCTCTTGGCGCCGCACTCGGGACAGGCAAGAAGAGAGCAAGACGCCAGCTGGCGGATCGCAGGACGAAGAAACACAGGCAGTGGCAGTAGGAGGACAACCCAAGGGCGAACAACCTTCTCACGACAGCAGCATCCCCCAGCCGAAAGATAGGCCGTCTTCCCCACAACCTTCAGCAGCTGCTCATCCCCATCGGCTGGTGCGCAGTCAATCTCTGGGCCTGCAAGCGAGGCCAGACCAGCCGCGAGACATGGCCAACAACACCAGCCTGTTGCGCAACAACGTGATGAGGCCGATAGTGATCCCGGCGTCGAATGGCGGCAGAAACGAGTGGCCGCTGCGCCTCAGGACCAAAGGCACAACAACTATCAATAAGATGCCGGGGGAATGGGACGCGGGACCGGAAGATGTTGACCATGGAGCCGAGGGACTCAGCAGGGGTGAGACTGTGGGGGACGGTGATGGTCCTAGCACAGTAGGTCTGAGTAGCGGCAGCAGTGTGATGGCAGGACGGGACGGAGCGGCGATTGCTGAGGGCTCACAGAAGCGCGTGACGCATCAAGAGCGACAGAAGTGGCTGGACTGGTATCGCAACGTGTTTCTGCCGGAGCAGAGGAAGAAGGAGAAGGAGTGACGGTGGCCATAGACGCGTCAGCCACCATGATCTTGGCCTGGCATAGACAGACAGACAGACAAACGCACGTTTGGTCTGGTTGACGCCAATCTTGTTGTCCGGGCAAGCTCCAGGACAGACACGAGTCGATCGGTCCTGGATTTATTGTAGGAAACGAGAGCGTGTTGCGCGTTCGCCTCAGAGAGAGGATTCAGTCAGCCATAAGCTTGCTCATGCCTCTGGCCTGTCAATCTCAAAACTCTTAAACTCACTCTCACAACTCACTCTCACAACTCACTCTCACTCACAGCAGCGTCAAACAGACTCGCAACAGAGTTGCAGTGTGGCCGGGGCTCGTGCGTGTCAATATCGTTGACACAGGTGTGTTGAGTCTTGCCAAGGATCTGGTAAGACTGGACGTGTATGTTGTTGAGCGGCATCAACTGACCGCTAGGATGCTTTGCTTTGATGTGTTTACGTATACACGTAAAATTGATGTTTTGTCGCATGAATGGAAAGGCTGTCAAAAGGCAGCGCGGACAATGGACGCGAGGTCTTCTATAAAACTGCATTGTCAGTGTAGGTCTGGTCTCCAATGTAGAAGGCAGCAGCAGATTTAGCAGCTTGAACGAAATCGAATGAATTGGCACGGCCATGCTTATTGGCGTGGGAAACAAGGATAGTCATATTGGGGTGGATGGTTTTGTAATATTCTCTACAAAATACTACAGCAAGGGCGGAAGCAACGTTCTGTTGGCAGTGTTGTAGAGGTTCTGAAGCAAATAGCGTTAGATATGAAAAATGGTTTGATCTTGGCTTCTTACCGGATGACCAAGGGGATTACATTATGTCCCTCGAGCTTAGGGACTTGGGGCACTTCGGGGCCAGGGCTGCCAGCTATCTCTGACATGATGGGGATAGATAAGGCTATGGACAGGTAAACAATCGTGGGTCACTGATGGTGCTGACTTGGAGGAAAACAACAGTCGGCAGCACTGTTAATTGCTAGTGATGATAGAAAGAGAGGTTAGAAGAGCAGAGGTTAGATGGCTACCAGGAAGGTCTCGGCTGACGCCCTTCTAAGCAAGAATCTCGACACCATCATGTTCAGCAGAAGAAACCCAAGGGGCCAAAACACCAGCTCATGTCATCTGATACGATGCTGTCGAACTGCTGCTGGGTCTTTGATGATGACGGATGGGCAGACAGACACAGAGAGGATGGTTGAACGACGGGCAGTGGGCTTCACCATCAGGCAGCTGGAAGATTTTCGTCGACGATAAGTCGGCTGGAAGGGTTTTCGTTGTTGGGCAGTCAGGTAAAAAGTTTGACGGTCGGGTATGACGGCTGGAATTGATAGTCGAGTAATAACGGTCGGGGATAGCGGTCGAGTTTGGCAGTTGAATAATGGCGTTGAGAGATGCGAGCTGGGTACTATGGTTGAACCATAATGGTCGGGAATGGCGGTAGGTAAGTATGGTAGGTATTTAAGCAATGGCGGTTGGGTTGTTGGTCGTGCATGGTAGTCAATGAGGCTTGCGAAGTGGCGGTCGAGCAATGACGGTCGGGTATGGCAGTCGAGTAATTGAAAAGGTTTTCGTTGACAGTGGTGACGGAAGGGTTTGCAAGAAAGAAGTCTGCGTGGGGCTGCGAGTTAACTACATGTGCAGACAAATAAACGCGCAAGGCGAAGAATACCTGAACGTGTGAAGGGTTTGACTTGGTAGATATAGGTGACAGGTGGGATGGTGACGAAGATTTCGACGTGTTGTTGTTGGAGACAGACGGGCAAGGAGAAGAAAGAGCGTCGCAGTGTCAGTATTTGCCTCTAGGTAGGAGGTGCCTGTGTCTGGCGGAAGGCGCGTCGGACAGAATTGCACGATGCAGCCAGCCTGATGCGAGCGTGACCTGCATCGTGGCAGGAGCCTTCTTGTCGGCTGCAAGGTGCATTTAGGTCATGGCAGGTACCCCGCCGACGAGTCCTTCCTTAGCACCACCGCTTCTGTCCGACACGATATCCTACGCCGCTGGAAATCGAGCCTGAGCCACTTCAACGCCTCAGCTGGCGTCATTGTTTTCCTATTTGGCGCCAGGATTCTCGGCTCCTGCGTTTGTGCCGAGGACGACGACAGTTCAGGCTGAACTTACAATGATGAGGGCATTCATCGTGAACCACGATACTCCACTCCGCCTGCTCAGTCTCTCGGCCTGGGGTCGCCATCGATTTACAGTCCGCTTCAAGAGGGTCAAGAGGACGGGCACACTGTATCGGGAGATTTCGAATTCGCGTCTGCAGACTGAGAGAAGATGACGTCGATGGCGACAGTGTTGTCAATCCCAACTTTGAGGATTCTTCCGACATCTCCAACAACACGCATCTGTCGTTTTTCGGCAGCGCAAGCCATGGATGGCATTCCGGAATAGCATTATGAAACGAGCCATAGCTAGGAGCCAAGCATCAGAATGTTACGACGGATTCAAGAAAAGCAGCCGTGGTTCGTCACTTTGGGGCGTCGCGCTCCAAGGGCGCAAGTGTCAAGCGTGAAGCTTCGGCCAGCTTGCCTTGGGTCGCTGGCCTGGGGATCCGACAAGGTCAAAGGCTCAACCAAGAACCACAACTGCCTGCATCTTGGCCAGGAGTATCTGTTACTACAAGCCCAGGTATCAGCTGGCACAAGATTACCATGGCTGCTAAATGCAGTGGTCAGCTGGTTTTGACGTGATTAACATCTCAGCTGTGGGAAGAATAGGTACCAAAGGTGGACTCGGAGTAGGTTAATTAATACTAAATTAACCTAGAATTGGGTTGAAGAATGCAAAATCAACCCAAGGAGATTGACATCGTCACGTCAGGACAGAAGATTGAGGCTCACGAGGACCTTCTGATCCTGAAGGGTGTGATTATGCGACTGACGAAGATGCTCGAGGAAGCACAGCAGTAGTCTGCTGCAGTTAAGGCGACCAGGGAGGTGGCACGGTGACGCCAGCCACAGAGGAGAGGAGAGTGTCCACAAGCACGGACGTTTCTGGGCCAATCAAACAAAGGTAATGGGGAACTGCCGGGGGAAAACCTCTGGCACTTCTCTACAGCGGGTCCACACCACAGTCCCAGCCACACCAGCGCAGCGCCACGCACCCAATCTTATCGCTGTATCTGCTGGGCTTTAGGCCTTTACTACCTACAGGTACATAGGCACGTAGGGAGCTGCTCCCACTAATCTCAAACTCAATCGCATCGCTCAAGTAGATACGTATCCTAGGTACCTAGGTAGGTACTTCAAATCGGCCAAATCCAAAATATGCAGTTGCGACCTCGCACTCCTTCTCTCGACATTGACTTACCCACGTTTTCTAAACTTCCCTTCATCTTCTCCAACAGACTCTGTTCTCTCCCCCCCCCCCCCCCCCCCCCCCCTCTCTCTTGTGCGCCCCAACTCTTTTTTACATTTTTTTTTCTTCACAATAACCAAGTCGTCAACAGCAGACCTTGCTTTGCTCAGCTTGCTAAAATACTCCAGGATACCAGACCTCCGACTCGGCGGAGCGGATCGACCGCTGGAACGAGCATCTCTGGCTGAGACTCATGCAGTCGCGACGGGCCAAATACACTTCGATCACGCCCATGGCAGCTATGAAAACAACTATCGATTACAACAGCGGACGTCTGAGGCTACCGGACAGCAGCCAGAGCTGGTCCGAATCACGCCATTCGTCATCAGGGACCTCTCTGCCATCGTCAGCCTCGGCGAGATCAGCAGCATCATTAAGCCCGCGGCGCTGCTGCTGATCCAGGGGCCAATCAATACGTACGGGGACAACTACCTGCTGCACCGCAAGTTCCTGAGCCCAGCGGCCGAGATTGGCAAGCTCTTCGGCATACCCGCCAAGCTCGCGGTCAAGGCGAAGCTCGGCCCTGGAGTAAGACTATGACTCGCCTCGGTTCCGATCCGACCGGTCCCTCAGAGTCTTTGCGAGACTGGCCCAACGCCCTCAGCAATAAGTTAGACTCGGAGTCGTACAGCGGCAAGCTTGCGCTCCAGGTGCGAGAGCGTCGACGGCTCTTTGTGGATCTCGCTGGTTCTACGGTAATTCAGCATCTGCTTGGGTCATTTATGCTCAATGTGATAAAGGAGCCGGTCCCCGATCCTAATGTCGCGCTTGTGGCTGCCATTGTGTGGCGCATGGTCCATGTCGCCTCTCTTGACCACGACGACAGGGAGCAGGCCCGGCCAGCGTCAGTTACCGCCATGACGGCAATCAAGCAGCTCAGCGCAACACCTGCGGTCAACCTGGATGGCGAGGCCGCCGCCGAGGCACTCGATGCCTACTTCACGCCCTACACCACCGACGTCTTGACGCCGAGCTACATGGGGTCCCGGCCAACCGGCTCGGACGGCCAGCTGCCGTGGCTGACGATGAACGGGCTGGCAATGGTGTACGACGTCAACAGCAGGTAATTCGCCAGCACGTGCATGAGAGGCGGCCAGGCTTATCTGCTGAGGGGAAACTTCTCGCCCTCAGACCTGCACCTGTCAACTCCCAAGCTGCTGCAGGCTCCCGTCCCAGCAAAGATGCTGTCACCCTTGGCCATGGCACACCGCGCAACCGGAGATCCACGATGCCATCTTGCGGGTTGCCACCATCTGCCGGATTCTGAGCTTTAACGCTGACGAGATTGGCCACTTCGCCAATACGCTCCGACCCAAGAGACAGGCACTTGACAAGGGCTCATGTGCCGCAGATGGCGAAACCGAACCGACTGACACAGAGAAAGAACAACATGATGATGCCGCAAAACACGACGACGGTGGCAACCACAATGTCTCGAGTGGTGAAGATGCTGCTTAAGATGCTGCTTGCAAGCACTTTGGCCTTAACAGGAGCTTGCTAGGCATCACCCGAGGCCTTTGGCGCGTACTGCAGCCAGACGACGTCCCACGAGTTGGGCCAGCCAAGCGCGCTGTACAATCGGGAGCTCGGGCTGCACACCGTTATGCTGACCATGGACCGGCGCTTCGCGACGCAGCAGTACGATGAGGTACTGCAAGTCGCCCGGCTTGTGTTTGACCCGACCATGGACGTCGACATCGAGCTGCTAGTCAAGCAGGTCACTGTCCTCGACGAGTGAGGCAAGCCCACTACGGCTAGTCTCTCGTAGCAGCCGCCAGCGGGCATTGTCTGTAACAGCCTTGATATTGCCGGGCGGTCAGTTACCTATGCCCTGATTGAGCCATCCATTGACCCTAGACTCCTTATGGCCCTGGATGGTTCTGGATCGGCGGGCGGCGGCGGCGGTGGTTCAGGTGGTGGCAATGACGGCCTTGATGTTGCCTATGGTTCTGGGTGTCTGCGACGGGCCCCTGCGTGGTAGCGGTTTGACACGCTGATGCACAGGGCGCGAGAGCTCGTGGGCGAGGCGTGGTCCCTCGGGGAGAGGCTGGTCAGGGCAATGAGAAGAAGGAGGCCGAAGCGATCGGGTGTTTGCGGGCGCGGCACACGACGTCGATACAGTGAATGATGGTCGATATTAAGCAGATCCAGATAGCTGAGGCTCGGCAGAATATCAAGTCGTTCCGGCTCAGCCGCGTCGCCACCGTGGCCCAGCTGACGTACTACCAAAAAGTGAATCCATGGCTTGCGCGCCAGCCTGGCCAGATGATGACGGACCATATAAGTTAGCTCGTGTGCCTCTGGACGCTGGTTGTGAGCAAATACTGCAGCCGCACGCAATGAAACTTTTCAGTGGCAACCTGAGTGCTTGCATGTACAGCTGAAACTGCAGGTGGTGTTGACGGAGGCGGCATTTGTGGAGGTGCTAGTGTACATGCGCCAACGCCTTTACCTCCATCTAGTAACGCCCTTCCCTTCACAAATTGACGGGCTGACCAAGTCGTTCTCGTTGAAGATGCCAGCCATGCGCATGGAGCCTGGTCTATAGTGTATATATTCCAGGAGTGACAGTGGACGGCAGGAATACAAGCATGCGGTGACCTCAGAAAGACACGCTGCCCTCCTCCCTCTCCCTCCACAGAAACACTCCAAAGAATCTCAATGCTAACTGCCCTGCTACCACCTCTTTCTATCGCCCATCTTGCTTCTGCACCAAGCCTGCGTAGCCATCCTAGAAGACTCCTCTTCAATCAAACCAAACCGGCACTGTCACTGTCTACGCCTCTGCCTGCCATCGTGTGTCGCCCGTCAGTTCAAGTCTTGGGGCTCGCTACACAGTCAGTCATCCTCTGCTTCATATCCATTAACCACTCCATCGTGTCTTGGTACATTCACCGAGCCTACAACCACCGTCTCTCCACCGACAATCTCGACCCGTCAATTTCGCTCGACCTTCATGAAATCCTTCTGTCTCCCGACTGTCAACAAGTCCTTTTCCCCTCGTGACCCCATCAACAGGCAGGTCAAGCTCCCCTCACGTTATCCAACCATCACCACTCCATCTCTTGATCCACCTTGGGAACAACTCTCTCGACACAAAAGGCAAAGAAACCAGGATCCGCCGCCTAGGGATACCAGCCCTCCCCCCAGGGCGGGTGCGGCTATTCGGCAGAAATCAATTGACGGGGGCAACATGGTCTTGTTGGCGACACGAGCTTTATATCGATTTGTGGAGTAAGCGTTTAGTTTGATTGCAATGTACTTAAGTGTTGCCAGAGGACAAGTAGGTACACTATAAATTTAGAAAGCAGCCTAGACCCTAACTAATAAAGTATATATTTATTAATCTAACTAAAGAGCTATAATTACAGACTTTTTTTATTAAATATAAGATAAGTTTTATAGACTAGCTTATAATATGTCTAGTTTTAGTTATACTGTTTATATTATAATACTATATCATCCTATATTCTATAGCTATATATAGTTTATAAGTATATAAATTATATAATTAACAAGTTTTCATCCTAGAAAAGTATGAGTTTCAGTATATTCTTCTTTAAATTAATTATTGTTTAATAAATTAATTCATTATAGAACTAAAATTATTAATAAAATGGGAGAACATTTAAAAATAATAGAATATTCTATAAGTTTATTATTTATTATTCTAGGTGCTGTTTTCTTAATATTAACTAATGATTTAGTGTCTATATTCCTTTTAATAAAATTACAAAGTTATAGTTTATATATATTAAGTACAATCTATAGAAATTCTAAATTATCTACTACTGCAGGTTTAATTTATTTCCTATTAGGTGGATTAAGTTTATGTTTTATCTTATTAGGTACAGCTTTATTATATATAAATTCAGGTACTACTAATTTAGACAGTTTATATATTATTAATAGTATAAGTAATTTTAGTAACATAACTTACTGATATTAACTATATTATATAAGCTTTTCTTTATTAGTTTTTAGTATTAGGTTCTTATTTAAAATAAGTGTAGCTCCTTTCCATTTTTAATCTCCTAATGTTTATGGCGCTATACCTACAATAGTTACAACATTTGTAGCTTTAGTTACTAAAATATCTATATTAGTATTTTTATTAGAATTAGTTTATTATACAAGTAATAACTTTTTAGATGTAAATTAAACTTTTAGTTTAATAATAAGTTTATTATTTTTATTATTTATAGGTATAATTATAGGTTTAATATAATTAGAATAAAAAGTTTATTTACTTATAGTACTATATCTTACGTTAGTTATATATTATTAGCTTTAGGTATATTAAGTATAGAATCTACTTAAGCTTTTATATTCTATTTAATATAATATACTATAAGTAATTTAAATACCTTTATTATAATAATAGCTATAGGATTTTCTTTCTATTGTTATGTAACTACTAATAAAGAACATGAAGAACTATTAGATAAAAATAATTCTCTAGTATAATTAATTAATCAATTAAGAGGGAACAGAAACTTAACAGCTTCCTCTTCTCCTTCTATATTAACGCTACAGAAGAAGGGATATAGGCCACCGTAAGGTATTATTAATATAAAGAAAAAAAAGAAAAAGCTTTAACATGCTTATAACTAAAGCAAACAGATAATTACCTCCCATCACTCTATATCAGCCCCTCCAAGGCTAGTCCCATGGGTACTAGGCCTAAGGCAGCTATAAGGTCAAGCCCTTGTATCCTCTCTTCACAAGTTCGCAGTTGAGATACACTAGACTTACACGCACCTCGCAAGCGTCTGTAACGATCTGCATTGCTTTACGCGTTCGCGCTTTAGCCGTCTTAGTGACGGCATTGTGTGCTAGGTGTTATTAATTTAATATTAGTAGTGGTATAAGTACCCTGATAACTAAGAGAGATCTTGGTGCTACTAGACTAGAAAATGCAAGACCTCTAGGGTGCAGCCTAATATAATTCTTTATAGGCAGAGCGCGCCGTGCTGCGCTAGGTCTCCAGAAGGGTTGTAACAGTAGCGCAACTTGAAATAAGTAAACCTCTGGCCTAGTACTAAGGCTGGTCTTATCCTTGCTGCAAGGAGGTCTATCAGGGCCCCTGTGCAGCAAAGGAGGTTTACTAAGGCTTCCTACTGGACCCAGAGCCTACTTAGGTGGAGGGATGACGGTTGCTAGAGTCCGGACAGTAACTAAGGCTACTAAAACTACTTTGAAGTTAATATGCATAACTAAGTTGTTAGCTTTGTATCTATCTTGATTCTTATCCTTCTGCCGCTGTCCCTCTAACTCTACCCCGTCCTGCATTACGCAGGCCTTATCTTGGTTGTCCACGTGTGGAGGCTTGGAAATGTCGCCGTCCTAGCTGTTTTGGGCCCAGGAATCCGTGAATTTGGGGAACCTGAATGGGGAGGAAGAAGTGTCAGTCACTATCATCACCAGGCGTTTTGGTGGGGCAACGCGGACAGGAAACGCACGACATACAACCGCATCTGGCCGTCCTTTTCTCGATTAACGTGCACCCTTAGCGCGCTATAGAGGTAGGGTTACATAACCTTAATATCCTTCTAGCCTATATTGCTGATACTAAGCTAGCGTAGCTACTCGATGCGGTAGTCGACGGACAGGTTTGTTTGTATCTGCTTGACCAGCCAGCTTGCAGACAGCCTGGATTAGGTTGACAGAGTGTTTCCTGTCAAAGTTTGTTGTTGATAAAGACACAGAATTTGTTCAAGGAGAAGAAAGGCAGGAAATACAACAGATTAGAACAAGTCATAGCCAACTGGGGGATAAATGGTGACGGATTTGTGTAGCACATGATGGCGGGCTGTGTTGTCATTGTTGCTGTTATTGGAATTGTTGCTGATTGCAGCTGGTTGCGATGGAGGATGGCTCTGGAACCGTTGTCGTTTGTAGAGAAGGAGGAAGAGGCTATATCTTGGACTTGGGATGCTATAGTGACAGGAGAACTAGTGACGCAGCTTGGTACGCGTTCACTGTGGCAGGTAGACGGCGGCGGCAGTGTTAGGGTTAGTTGTTTCTGCGATGGCTCAAGCTGGCGATGGATGTATTTGAGACCACGTCTGAGGTCGGGCTCTCTATAATAACAAGAAAAGGAATCTAGAGAGTAAATGATAATAATGGAATTTAATGGTGGTATTTATTTTATTGTGTAATCTAAATTGTTGCAGTACTGTTATGTTAACTATGGAAATGGGTTCGACTGGTCTAGTTAGATATACTGTGATGGATAATAGTGATGCCAGCCCGGTCAGATATATTACGATAGGCGTACCTATTGTAATTAAGAACTTGAGGGGCAAAGGGACAGGCCAAGGAAATGGTTGTCGGGGGGAGAGGTTATCAACCAGAGAGAGGGAGAGAGAAGTTGTCTAAAACAGTATTACAGAGACTTATTTCCTCTAAGGGCGTGATCGATGACTGCGGTAAGAACTGAAATATGCAATAAGAATTTCAAATATGCAATAACACTAGCCACAAGTACCCTCTAAACTCAAATTATATTACACTAGGCCTAAAACAGGAGGGTATATTATAATTATAGTTCTAGATTATAGAACCTTATATTATTATATATTAGCTATATACTTTAGTAAAAAAAGATTTTATATAGTATAAATTATTAGTTATTTTTTATTTTTTTATATAAATTCTTACTATATTTAAAACTTATATTAATATTACTATAGTTATTATTATACTTTAAAAACTACTTTTTTATTACTTATTACTATAATTAATTATTATGAATAATTTATTATAAAATTTAACTATTTTATTATAGTAGCTATATTTAGTACTATTATAGTAGAATATTAAGCTAGTAAAAATAAAGATAAAAAAGAAGTTATTAATAATAGTAGTACTATAATTATATACTAAATATATTAAAAGCTTTTTTTTAGTTTAAACTACTATTTTTTATACCTTTTTTATTTTAGTAAATAGTAATTTTAAGTATTATTAAGATAGCTTATAAATAATATACTTTTATAGTTATCTTAAAACCTCTTTATTAAGTAAAAAGTACTTATTTATTTATTTATTTTATCTTATAGTAGTAATCTTAGCTAATAGGCTATTATTTACTTTTTTTATATTAGTTAATTAACTATATCTTTAGTCTAAAATAAAGTTTTATTATACTTTATAAAGCTTTATATTAGGTGCTAGAGGTAGAGAGCACTAGAGGACTACTAGCTATAGGGCTATAACTAGGAAAACTATTATCTAAGGGCTATATAAAAGTAAAGTTTATAAGGACTAGAGAATTAAGAGAAGGTAGATTAGAAAATAGTTATAATTAACCCTTAACTATACTACTTATAGACTTCTTTACTTAGTATAGTAACCTCTTTAATATATTCTAATCTTTACTTATCCTTAGGTGTACTAACTATTAAAGCTATAATATTACCCTTTAACACCTAAGCTACTGCCTAATAAGGTATAAGTGTTACCTCTAGGTAACTAACCCTAGATAGTAGTAACGCCTAGGTATAGGAAGAGAATAAGGGCCTACTAGTGTAATATTAGCTTTTAAGTAACCTTAAGAAAATAATAAAAGAAAAGCTTAAGAACCTTCTAAAGAAAGAAGTAAAAAAAGCTAAAAAGAGAAAAATAGTTAACTAGATTTTAGCCTTAATAAATAAAGCCTTTATAGAAGAGGTATATAATATACTAAGCTTAGCTACTAATCCTTAGCTAGAGTATAAGCGCCTTTATATTAATATACTATTAAAGTAGTTACTTTTAATCTAATATAAGAGGGGTATATAAAATAACCTCTAGGACTTTTTATTTAAGTTAAAAAAATAGTTTAAAGTAGTAAAAAAAGAATTTAAGGATAACTAAAGTAAAGTATAGTATACTAGCTTTATACTAGAGGGTAACCTAGTATATAAGTAATAGAGGTATATTAAAACTTACTATAATAGTAAAATAAGGGAAGTAACCTAGGATATAATAAAGACTTAGTTAAAAGATAATATTACTAATAATAATATATAGGCCTTTAGTATAATAGCTAAGCTTAATAATATAAAGTAAAAGGTTAACTAGTTATACTAGTAATTTATTAATAAATATAAGACTATTAAGGTAAAGTGCCTAGACCTATAAACTAAGAGGTAATAAGTAGTCTATATACTTAACTAGTTACTACTTAACCTAAAAAGCTATATATTAGCCTAGAGGTTACTAAAGATATAATAAGCCTTTAATAATACTATATATTAGGCTAAGATATTAGCTAAAGTCTATACTAAAGATAAATTAGTAAAATAATAAAAGTAAAATTAGGAGTAAAAGGACTAGTAGGCCTTAGCTATACTACTAAGTTCTAATATAAAGGTCCTTATAATAAAGCCTTAGTCTATATACTTTATATTTATACTTATAATAACTTAAGATATATTAATACTAACACTAAAGCCCTTAAAGGTAAAAGAGGAGAAAAGTAGCTAACTACTTCTAACTAAGCTATAGTACTCTTTAACTTACTTTAACTATAGTAAGCTAAGGTATCTATTAGCTAGCTACACTAAGGAGAAATATTATAAGTATAGTTAACCTAGACACTTAGGTAGACAGTATATAATAAGGGTAATAAAGGTTAATACTATCTAAGTACCCTAGAGAAAAAGGCTATACTACTAATTTAAGGTAGACTTTTATACTAAGATAAGTAGTATATAGAGGAAAAAAAAAGTATTAATTAACCTAAGGGTAAATAAGAACCTTATATACTAGAGAATATTATATATAAAAAGGCTACTAGTAGTCTATAAGGAGAGACTACTACTATAGGGTATATAGGGAGGTAAAGCCCTAGACTATAGCTTAAAGAAGATAATATTAAAGGTAAAGAATAATATTAGAATATTAAAGATATAAAGCTATATTTTATAAGTAAGTAATATAGAGGGATATAATATTATCCTAGGGATCCCTTAAGGGCAAGTAGTAAGGCTTAACCTTAAGTAAAAAATAATTAGCTAGACTTATCTACTAAGTAAAGACTATATTTAACTAATATAAGGCTAAAAGGTAGTTAAGAAGGCCTTTAAGGATACTAAGGTAGTCTTAGTAGACCCCCCTATAATTTAACACCTAGGGTATAAGATACTAGAGGGAGCACTAAAGATACCTACTTATATACTAAAGAGGGATAAAGAGGTTAATAAGGCTAGTAGTATAAAGACTATAGTACTAGAGGAATATAGAGAATAGGCCTATATATTTAATATAGACCTAGTAGTAAAACTAGTAAAAAATAATATATAAATATATATAATAAAATTAAAACTAAGTATAGTGCTACTGTTTAGCCTTATTTACTTACTAGTAAAAAAAGAGCTAAAGGAGCTAAAGAAATATATTAATAAATCCTTAGCTAAAGGCTAGATCTAGCCCTTAAAGTTACTAGTAGAGGCACTAATCTTATTTATACCTAAAAA